TATCATATCTGTTCGTCTGTTTTACAATTTCACAATGTATAGGATTTGCATTCGAAGTAGCTAAAATGACCTCAACATTGCTTATGATTCACGCTGATGAATGAATGCTATTTTCACCTTCCGTATACTTATCAGGGTTCATACAACTACTTCACATGGTCGGTCAGGCTATTGTACTACAGTGATATCGTATACTCTGTTGAGGCATAAAAGTCTCTCTACATCGTCTTCACCCGAAAAACTTGCACTTTCTGAGTATTCTCCAGCAATCAGGTATTTATTAGGGAAGAGATTTGTATAATGGTTTGTAGATTTTTGTCATAGGTATAAATGATTGAGAAGAGACGGCCTTGATGTTAGCTAATTGTCATTCCACGGAACAACTTATCACACAGTTGCAACCATATCTTAGCTTAAGTAGGAGAATGTTACTGTTTGAAATCTCTCAGTCAGGCAAGTGAATTAAACGACGCGAAATTTAACAAAGCAGTCAAAACATTGCAATTCAACCATGTACAGGCGACCTCGTGATCTGCTGCTTGAAAATCAAGTGCATAGGTTAATGGGTCGTATCTCCATACCGTTATATGGCCATCGGGATCAGTTATCGGTTTATTGTCGACAAATTCAGCCTTGATAAGGCACTAGTATCTTTGTGTCATTTGCTGTTGGTTTAGGAGTCTGGTCATATCTTGTTTCATGATCCTAATTTCTGTGATTATTTTACGCCGTTCACTTTCAAGGGGACACTGGATGGTGCATAGGGTCTGTAAAACTATACTGTTGAGGTTAATGGCTGTGGTTATTGTGAAAAATCTCCACCGAGCAGTATACGAGTCAGTGATCAGGACTGTTTTAAAAAACAATCATCATCTCTTCATGAAGCACTGAAAACAGACGCAGAGACAACAGCGGACACACTCACATCACTGTTGCAGAAGGTTTGGAAGAAAGGAAGGAAAGGTACCTACCGAGTGGAAGAAGGGCTACCTTGTCATATTTACAAAGAAAGGAGACCTATGTCTTTGCAGGAACTGGTTCGGAATCATGCTGCTGTCAATCCCAAGCAAAATATTAGGCCGCATCATCGTGGAGAGACTAAAAATGCTCTGCATTCAAAATTGCGATCGGAACAGGCTGGATTCAGGAAGTACAAATCATGTGCGGACCGAATTGCAACGCTATGCATCATCATAGAATAGTGTAGAATGCTAGTCAACTCTCTTGACCTCAACTTCATCGATTTTGAAAAGGCCTTTGGTTGAGTCGTCGACCGAGAAGCAATTCGGCACGCAGCTGCTTCAACACTACGGTTTTAGTGCCAAAACCTTTATCAACCTCATTCAACAGCTACATGCTATATAATGAGGCTACATGCCAAGTGATTCGAAATGGAAAACTCAGTGACGCCTTTGAAATTTGGACAGGAGTAAGACAAGGTTGCCACCTACTATCACCGATGACCTTCCTGATTGTGGTCGACTGCATCATGCAGGAAACCGTGAGCAGCTAGAAGATGGACATACGCTGTTTGACCGATGAAAAGAGCCTAGACGATTTTGATTTCGCCGCTGATGATGACTTATGTCCAGTGTGTTGTCGCACAAACTCGAAGATCTACAGACAAAAACCAAGAAGTTGACAGAAGAGGTAGAGCAGCGAAAACATGACTTCAAGAGAACGTGGAGAAGACGGGGTTGGTGAGGATATCCAATGGACAACATCAACAACAAGCACCAATCACCATTAACAGGAGAAGGCTGACTGAAGTAGTCTGTTTCACCTACCTGCCCAGGCAGCATGGTTTCAACCTCGGGCGGTGGTGCCGGGAAGGATGAGGATGTGAAAGCCAGTATCGGAAGGACAGCAAGACAGGCCTTCCTGCAATGATCTGAAATGGGTGTGGAGATGGACTGCACTCCACTCAGCATAAAGCGTGAACAAGATCCGGACTTTCAACACTAATGCTTCTATGTGATGGTTGAGAGAGATTTGGTGGGGCGTTACGAAAATCATTTCCAACAAACTACAGATATTCATCAAGAGCTGTCTACGCTCACTGGATACTGAAGATAAGATAGGTAGCCAGAATAATAAGAATAAGTAACAAGGAACTCTATCTGGCTGGCAACGAACCAAGGAAGCAAGAAGCCATCGCTCAACAAATGTGTAGAAGAAAGTGGAGATGGATTGGATTGAACATACAGTGAGAAGACTGTTTGGGGACATGACGCGTCAGGCCGGGCCATGCGATTGAGTGGAATCCAAATGGTGAACGACGAGTTGGGTGTGTGAGGTGAGGGTGACATGGAGGAGATAGTGTGAGAAATAAATGAAAGCTTGTGGGGTGTGGTGGAGTCAGGTTGAAAAGAGTGGAGAGAAGAGAGTGAAATGGCGACGTGACGTGCTACTGAAGCCCTATGTTCCACTAGGAACCCAATGGACAAATAATAACAATCTCTAATTTTGTTTCCAGATTTGGGCTTTTCTGACTGATTTAATAGCTATACTTTTAAGAATTTCTTGGCGGATATAGTCACCTCTTGCTGTATGATGTAATTCTTTGGCTGCGCAAACCTTGTTACTAGAGGTATTTGAAGTTCAGTGTATCATTTACCTGTTTAGTGTCTAAACTATTAAACCTTAAGTTTAATTTTGGACTTGTTAACTGGTTCACTTGTATTTTACACAGTCTTGGTATCCTAGTTGTCGAGAGAACTTCATTGTTGGTGCGTCAAACACTGCTATTACTTGATAGTGTCGTCCACTTGTTACTTGAAATACTTATCTAGTGGTCAGTTAACTGGTGTATGCGGAAGGTAGACAATGTATGTGTTAGTAATTCAAAGAACCAGGATTATGATGAAACGTGATTTTTTAAACATCTTGTGTTTTTCCTAATTTCTTTGGATGTTTTATTCTTCTTGCTAGTTGTATGACCTTTTTTCCAATCATGGTAAAGGAGTCACTAGCTATTACATATTTTAGTAATATCTTACCAGATTGTGCTTTACACGGCAAAGTTAGACGTATTACGGTAGTAAAGTGATTCAAAATCTAATCGCAATACCCACGTAGCTTAGTGGACAGCCAGTTATATTTCTACGTAAATACCAAAGTAATTAAATGGCATTCAAGGTGGTGCTTGATTATTCACCTTCTTGTTAATGAAATAAAGTTTTTCAGATAGCGTAGTCAAAGGACAAAGTTTATCTGAACAATGTGATGTATTTGCGCAATACATTTCGAACAATCTGATCACACATTTACTTGTCAAGTCAATATACGTTAAACCGAGGAGTGGGGGGACAAATGCAACAATTAACACAATAGGGGATTAAAATTAAGAAAGATGAGAACAAACAGGAAGCGACATAGTTGGTCCTAATCTTGGTAAGAAAACAAACTTTACCAAGGTATATGTAGTGTAAGAACAAATCATTTTTATACACATATAGGTGGCTTAAATTTGTGTATGACTATGGCTTCCGCAAATCTCGGAATACGTCCCTGACTGTTTCTAAATAAAACTTTGGAAGCTGTTTGAACATTAACTTTGTGACCTGTTTCTATGATTTGTTTAGCTGTAGATGAAGAGGGTCGTCTCCCTCCAGCGTTTATCACAGTTTCACACCCCATTTGTTTTTGAAGCCACTTAGGCACATGTTCTCCCACACTCAGTTGCATGACTCGATTACTCCTCCCTATGTATGTGGGACCATATACACATGTAAGTTGGTAAACATAATGGAATATGACGTAATCATTGACGCAGTGTTTAGGTTTTTGGTGAAGCACTGCATTGTTGTATTTATCCCCCCACTCCTCAGTTTAATATATATTGACTTGACAGGTAAATGTATGATCAGATTGTTCAAAACGTATTGCGCAAATACATCACGTTGTTCAGATAAACTTCGTCTTCCAATTACGCTATCGAAATTCATAAAAGGGACAACATGTTTCAAACTTTTTCAGATAGTGAAGATTAGTAGCCCATGATAAGAGTAGTAATTGCTTGATTTTCTTCGAGCTTTGATGTTTGTCCTCGAACGTCTCGTCAACAGGCTAGGAGGCGTCAACACTTTTATACAGGAGTTTGACACTACACCTGATTAGCTTGGTGACAAACTAAGCCACTAATTCAATAAAAAGCGTTGGTTGAGTTGTAGGTCTTTGATTATTATTATTTATTATTAGTCCCTTGGGTTCCTAGTGGAACATAGGGCTTCAGTAGCACGCCTCCAGTGACTTCTGTTCTCTGGGATCTTTTGAACCTGGTCCCACGACAGCCCAGAAGCTCTCATTTCCTCCTCGCACGACCTCCTCCATGTCACCCTTGGACGTCCAACTCGTCGCTTCCCATGGGGATTCCACTCGAGGGCCTGACGCGTGATGTCCTCAGTCGGCCTTCTCAGTGCATGGCCAATCCATCTCCACTTCTTCCTGCATATTTGTTGCGTGATAGGTTCTTGGTTGGTTCGTTCCCAGAGCTCCGTAGGTCTTTGATAAAGAATACAAATCTTTGGACATTATGATGTTTTCATAGAACATGTATACTACTGTTGTATGCCTAGCAGCTGTTCTTGCTGGAGGCTTTTAGAACGTAAAGGCAGAAGGTATCCTTAGTCTCATAATATGTAAGTAATAGGTTACGTCATCATACGAAACTATCAGTCTTATAGGAGGTAGTTTTGAGCACTAAAACTTTGCTTTAGAGTTCTTGAAAGTTATTTAGACGTATCTTAAAATACACCTCACAATCACATTCTGTGGTTCATTTCCTTTAAATTATCAGAAATCGTTCATAGAAAACGTTTTCTTTATTGTTATTCAGTGATGCACTCCTTTGTGTATCGAATAGCTATTAGGAGTGTAGCACATTCATGTAAGATACCGCAGTGATGAGATGCATACGTAGGGTGAAACCATGCTTCATATAAAAAGATGCATTATTTGAATACTTGTATCATATTCTTTTATTCCTTTTGTCCTTTCAGATTGATGGCATGTCAGCGTGAATTTTTCATGGTTGCAACTGATTATTGATGATCTAGTTTATTTTGCAAAGTTCCATGCCTCGTTTGTCTTTACTAACTGTCTTCCCAGGTGTTTTTCATTCACATTTATCGACGCTGTCAGTCGTATCTAGTTTACCATTAGACGAAAAGATTACTACCTCAAAAGATGCTGGACTTCACTTCTGGTTGAATCGTTCTTCTGACTTGAATTTCTCTGATACCGATGGATTTAATAATACTGATGTGGCTAACGTATCTTATGGCTTTAGAAGATTGTATAGCTCTACTGATAACATGGTCTCTATTCGAAATCAGGATTCATCGGATGCTACTGAGTTACCAAATCATCAACACTATGTTGGAATAATATCTAATCAAGCCAATAACAATGTTATTTCAGACAAGTCAGGGGGAAAAATTATGTTTGAAGTTGTAACTGCCGCGACAGCATCTGAAGAAGCTTTTCTGAACCGTTCGTCTGTTTTGTTTGTGGCTGTTTCATTCATTCTTCTTATGGTTATCAGTTTGGCATGGCTTGTGTTTTATTATGTACAGCGATTCAGATACCTCCACAGTAAAGAGCGAGTTTCTGTAAGTTGTTTTTTGAAGTTATAGACAAATTCCTTGAAGTGAAGATACATAAGAAATTTATGATTATTTATTTATTAACGTTTTCGTAACACTACCCACATGTAATGAAACGACAAAGTAAAAAGTGTTGAAGTTGAACACAGAGTCCCACTCAAGTCAGGTGATTGAAACTGGTATTATTTAACGTGTTTCGCATGCCATCAGGCTGTCTGCCATGTTGCACGCTGTTACGAATGTTTGAGAAAATGTGCCCAAGCTGAAACGTCTAAATAGGTTAAGTTGCTGACTCCTTTTATCAGGCCACATTAACCATTAAAAACCAAACCTGCTGAGTAAACCGTGAAGAGTAATCGCAGAAAAAATCGCAAAATGATATTTTGAATTGAATATTCCTAGTAGTATAAACCATAAAGTATGCAAAAGATAGTAGTTTGGTATGTTTTTGACCTTCAGTTGTATCTTTTTTTCTTTAGAATCGTAATTGTCATTCCAGCCTCCAAAGTAAAGTAGGTATTTTTCCTCCGAGACTTTATCTCACAGATGTTGTTCGAAAAAACCGGACTTCATCATGAGTAATTCGGTGGTAGTGATAAACATTTGAAAATGAAGTGTTTAGGCGTATCTAGACACCTGAACTGCTTAGATGCTCGTTTTTTTACTATCCCAATCGATATTTCTGTTAGTACTAGTATCATTATATTTTCTCAGGAACACCTCTGTTTTAAATCAGAAGGTGATTCATTACTTCACTTGTAGTCTTTATCGCAATCTTTTGCTTTGTTCTTTTTTTTGAAGTTTTATTTTTATTTTATCTTTCAGAGAAGACTCGCTGAATTGGCTAAAAAGGCTGTTGCACGGATACCCATCAAAACACTACATCCTGGCGATCGGGTAAGTCTTTTGTATAAGTTTGCTATTTATTTACTATTCCTTAATAGTGTCAGTATATTCTATACACTAGATAGTAAGTTGAATTTACACAACCTTTTGGTGATAAAATCTAACGTCCGATTATCAATTAAGTTAAAGTTTGTATTTGTTATACATGGACTGTAGTAGTTGTTTACTGTAGTTGAACAGCAAATTTTAGTACCTTTTCTCGCTGACGTGTAAATTTTTGACAAGTAAGTCAAAGATTGTTTCACTTTCTGATGGAGATATAGAAGGCAGTGAGCTAAATCTGCTCGACACCAAGCAATCAATATTTATCTAAACTGTCTTATTATGCTTTATTATTATACTGGTAAACTTATTTCCCGTTCTTTGTGGTACGAATTACAGAAAAGTTTTTAAGATCTTTATTCCTTTTTAAAAATGTTCATTTAATAGATTGTCTTAAATTACGTTTATTGAGCAACTGTATCATTTACGGTTACTCCTGAAGTTCCTTTTCCTTACTTTCCATATCGTGAAGTTGTTTTGAATACTTTTTTTTCGCTCAAGGAAACATTAGAGCTGTTTATATCAAAGATAGGAGGGATAGTTTTTCTTAGATTGTATTCGCCCCTTTCTTAATCGATGTACAGCTGCAAATTTAAACAGTTGCAGTAATTGCACTAGAATTTGAAATAGACAGTTGTATTATGTTATATTCATTGGAAGTTATTTCTTTTCTTGAAATCGTTCTCATACCTTTCAAACTGTATGTCATAAACTTAGTAATGCAAGAGCAACTTCCTTGTAGACTGGTTATGTGTCAGCGCATTCACTGGAAAGTTTCTTAGAGTTGATACATTTTGGAACAACATAGAGACAAAAAGTCCTCAGAAGGAACAGAGGTTCGTAAGAAACTAGCAGAAAGACTCAAAGTGACCAAAAAATGGACTGAACATGACTGACAAAATCACTACAGAGCCGTGCACTCAGGTGCATCGGTTCAAGTTGCCACACTTCACAATATACAAAGAACAAGTGGATGGAAAAAGAGTGGTATAAAAGTAGATAAAGTTGTGTGGGATAATAGACAATCTGAAGATAAACGTTAGTTCAAATATTCCAGCTTTAGAAGACGTCGTAGAGCAAATACATCTGCGCCACAGTGACCGGTTTTCAGTCATGTCACCACTGATACCTTTCGTCTTGATGGCATCAACCAGGCAGTCTACATCTCCCCACATGGCTCAGGTCAACAATAAGAGACTTCGTCGACTGGTCCCCCCTCTTGGTCTGGCCACCCTGAACTCTCTTCTAACCTAATCTAACTTCCCCTAGCATAGCACGCCGAGATGGGCGGTGGCTTGGCATGAGTAGTACAGGTCCAAGCCATCTTAGTCGACTAAGGTTCAAAACTTCATCAACCGACTTTCCCGACTTTCCTAACTGCTATTCAGATACTTAGAATGAAAATAAAAAGTGAGTTTTCATCACTGCTATTTAAGTAAACACTTAATTATTAACTTCCAAAAAACAAAGTTTAATACTTCATTTTACTTACACGAGGGTGGTAGCCGGTATACAACTTCGATAAATACGCAGCTTTTTCGAAATCTGATGAAATTTTTCTATGCAATACTTGGAACTCGTTTATTTGGTTGTTTCAGATTATCTGGCTGTCAGTGCCAGTTAGGCACCAAGTGTTTATTGGTTCTATAAAATTCGGATGTATTTTAGGAAAGCTGGTTCCTTTATTGATGGACAATTAGCTAATGGTAGAATTCAGGATTCGCGTTTCATCATCAGTTAGACCTTTGCTAAGAAGCTCAAAATGTCACCCAGTGAATAGTAATATATCACCACATCGTATGACAAATCATCAAATCTAATATGCAACTACATCCTACCATACTGCCCAACTTCTATATTTGTATTGCTTTTCAGAAATTTAAATTTACCATTTTCACGCCCTCTTCTACTCAGTAGTCATTAGTCTGTTCTCTCTGTCCACACTTTTCAAGACTTTCTCCATGTTACTTAACGGTAATTTTAATTTATCTCTATTTTTCCCTTTAAATAAGATTGAGACCCATACACAGTTGATGTGAGTCACTATCTTTTGTGTGGGCAGTGAAAGCTCTCAATGAGAATCGGTCTTCCTTCTTTCTCGTATGAGTTCATTGAAGCGTTAAATTTATTCCTGGTTGGAGCATATGTTTAACTTGGATAGTGGTTTATTAGTGTAGAATGTTATCTTAGCATAAGAGGTTGCCATTCTTCTCGTGAGTTTTGTTTTAACTGTAACTGAACCCAGCACGCTTCTAAAACCTCAGAGCATTATCTGCTGTTGTTCAATCAGTATTAACTTTTATTTGGATACTTTGGATTCCCCGTTTGTTCCAGATTTTACGGCTAACCAGTATATATAATAATGTCAAAATGAAATCAGCAGCAATACAGAGGCTTCTGTTTAATAACCTATCAAAAACATGAAATTACAAAAACGTTTTATCGAATTTGTTTCTCAAGTTTATTTCTCAAAACGATATTTTATCTTTTGTATCATTTGCGACCAATCAATTTAGACACTCGAATTGCGGCTGATGAGTCATATGCTCAAACCTTCTTTAATTATCCAGTTTTTAGGAAACATTTAACACATACTAGTCTTCAAACAATAGGTGTGACTTAACCTGTCGTATAAAGCTGTACGTTCTAACTCAATCTCATTCCTTTCGTATCACTTTTTTTTCTAAAGTTGAATAGTTAACTATCAAAATGATTCTAGGTGAACTCCGATACGACGGATAGTGTCTTAGTCACCTTAATACCTACTGGTGAGACGAACAATTTAAAGGAAATCTGAATAGTCAACGAAACCTGTCAAAATTATGTGCTTTCAGTTTTCCTAAGCGAATATAACTTCGTGTAGTAGTTAAAGTCAGCACCAGTTTCTCATTAAAATATTAGAGAACTGAAGGGTCAGTCAGTCACTACCAACCTGAATACTGTCATTCCAGCTTCAGACCCTAGCTACCATACTTCATATGGGCATATTGAGATACAAGGCAACAAGATGAAAGGTATGGTGTGATTTAAGATCGTAGGAAGACATACAACGATAAAAAAAGAGAGATGAGATAAGGCAAATGATGAAATCTAATATTTTGATTAGGATAAGGACAATTTGTAGATTCATTTACATCACTAAATGATAATTAACAATCAACTGAGATGTTTCTTGCAGTATTCTGTTTAGTTTTATCATCATTCAGGTCTAGAGGTTAAACAGTAACTTGTCTCTAGCTGATAATCTCATTGAACACCATCTTGTCTAATGATATGCATCAACTACTATTTGTTTATCTGTTATTTTTTATTCTTTGCTTGAACGCGAACAACATTGTACTTATAGACTCACGAATACACGTGTTTAGATATTACATTCTGGGGATGAATGTGCACTCTGTAGTGATCGTTCATTCTTGAATTCTCTGCCGAATGAAGACACTTCGCGTTCCTGTTAGTTGATCATTTTTATCAGGAAAAAGTGCACACCTATGCATATGTCAGTAGTCAACATATACAACATACTACCTTGTGTTTGTGTGTTAAACACAGCTTGAAGAGACTATCATGCTGTAAAAAATTATCAAAAGTGATTTCAATCACGCTTTCAGGTATGATTGTTTTGACAACCGTAAGCACTGAAGCCAATCAGTTGGATACAAACATAATGCTGTAGACAAGTTCAAAGTTTTGTTTCTGTACAATGAAAAAAAGTACTTTCAATTTGCCATCAAGGCAGAATGGCTGAAAATCAAGCCAACTGTAAACAGTTTAAAAATCATTACGCTTATTCACTTAATCTAATCAGTTTGCCGCTTTAAAACTTAGAAATAAATGAAACGACTGTTATGAAACTTTTCATCTATGTTCATTAATACTATGTAAGCCTAAGTCAACAGGAAAGTAGAAAGAAGTAAATGTCAGGCCAGACAAAATGGCATTTCTTCCTTTGAATACAAATTGTCTAAACATTTTATGTTTTCCTATCAAGCTTATTTTGTGTGTTATGTTCGTGATGTGCATCCTGCAAAACTATGCAAATAATATATCATTTGATCTCTACGCATTATGAATTAGCTGCATAATAGGTTTTGTCAGCTAACAGATATCCGCTGACCGATGGACATCCTTGAGACATTGGGCTTTCATTGTGTTTTATGTTAGAGTATTAATTTAGTGAAATACTGAGTTTGAATCTATGATGATAGTCCCATTCAGCACTGAATAGCCCTGCTCAAATCATGCTACACTTACAAATAGAACCACTCACATATATGGAGCAGTTTAAGCTGACTTATTTCGCAATAGCACAGAGAATTCATACAGCATTTTTTAATGGTCATTATCATCAAAGCTAGAAGAAATAGATTCTCAGAATAAACTTCTTTTTTTCTTCCAAGACTTCTGTTAAACTACTGATCGTCTCAAATATACCTTAGATTCATTGAAATCGCACAGTGGATTTTTGTTTGGCAAGAGGAAAATAAAAATTGGTTAAATTGGATAAAACATTTAAAGGTGAATGATAATACCATAATTAAAAATGACTTCAATCTATATATAGCTGAGGAGAAAACTCCAGAATTTTAACCACTTATGTTGAAAAGAACGAATTATTGAACACTATATATATGCAGAGAGGAATTAAGTTCTATTGAAATCAATCAGTTAGGAAAATATGAAAAAAGATTATTTTATTAGGTCGAAATAACGCTATCAAGACAAAGTCAGGTCAATCATCGTTTGCTTTTTTGTACACAGAAGTCATGTTCAAGTCATTTGAAGGCAATCAATCCGATACAAGCGATGGTCAGAAGTAAAATAAAATTGGAATAAATTCTTGATCCTTATCATCTTTCTACCTCCTAATTCTGTTCACAGGTTTTTCGGCTAGATTTACCACAATACAAAAGAAATTATTGGGGGCTTAGTTTACTTCATTTAGATGAGGAATGACTTAGGCAAACTAATATGACATAAATATACTAGAGGACTTCACTGCTAAATTTATCGATAAATAAGCTATGTTTGATTTTCACTTGAAGGGATTAATTTACTAGTTAAATGAAAGTTAGTTATTTTTTATGATGTACCGTTTGTAGAGCTGTGGCTTGTTGGTTTAAGGAGGCGACTTTTAATCAGTGGGCCACGGGTTCGAGTCCCGTTCCACTTACCGAGGTTTGGGCAGCCAGATGGTATCTCTCGACCCTTACACAACAGGTGTGGCTACATTGCCTAATGCACGAATGTGTACAAAATTGCTGAGTGCAATTCGGATTACGTATATTATTAATAGGCTATTTCAAAGTTAATGGTTATCATATTTTTTGAAAAAACTCATGCAGTACAGTTCTACCATGGAAACTATTATAAATGGTATCCATTACTTGAACTGAAGTTATAAATACTGAACCACTGCATATCTTAATGCCCCATACTAATCTAACCAACTTTGACTTTAAAACGAATTAAGTCAGGATATTGCAACAATCAACGGAGTCTCTGACTCGGTTAGAGCCGTGCAAAGTTTAGGTTACCTTCTTGAGGGTGCTCCAGATAATATGAATCAGTAGTTGACGAATCCTAGCGATGTTTCAAAATCTATTATAGTAGAGCAGATGCATTCATCCTCTATCGTCTTAGAAATTCTAGACATTTTATTAACCATTTATTTGTCCTCATTTCTCTCATATCCCTTTATAATTACCTTGATGACGTACCATCACTGTTCACTTCATGTTTTTGTGGTGTTGTGCGGTGTAGTGTCTTGAACAGATGGACTTTTGTGCAGTGAAGAAAAAAAAAGACATTTCAGTGAAGCGAATCTTATTTTTGACGGTGTCATTGGTGTACAATTGTCTTCATGAGTATTGGAAACAATTAAAGATCTTTTAATAATCAGTGTGGTAACCTGATTATCATACTGTTCAAAGGTAGAATAAATTGTAAATAAGTATTATTAAATTATTATTACATGTTAAAAATAAAAGACAACGTACTCGTGGACACAAAGTTGGGGGTTGAATTGATGACTCGCCAGCGCTACTGCCATATACAAGTTACAGAACTACTGCTTTTGAGTTATTTAGTCTAACGTAACAGACGCCTTTAAAAGAGGATTCCAGTGGTACTATGTGACTTGAATTGACTAAGTACTGAAGTATTAAACTATTTATAGATTCACCTTGACTTTGTGATGATAACCATACAGAATAATGTTCAGCGATGGGCTTGAACATTTCATACTTTGTTTTTTTCAGTGTTCTGCGTTAATTTGCCCATCTGTAGTCGTTCTATACACAGTTTTAATTTAAACCTTCGTTTTTGTAAATGATTTATTATCAACGTTATCATTCAATAAATTATACATGTATTACAATTGTTTTTATAAAGGAAATAACCGCAGAATATGAACAGTGCGCAATATGTATCGAAGCTTTTAGACCTATGGATAATCTTCGTATTCTGCCATGTCGGTAAGTTGTCATTTTTCAAACTATACATATCTTAATTCACTACTGTTTTTTTCACCATAAATCATAGCAGTCATTTTATTTTTTAAGCAATGATCGTTTAGGTTTGATGCATAATATTGTCCCAATACTCTACAAATTGCCGTATGTGCGCTAACCTACAACATTTGACTACACTTTTAAGCTTTTTTCTTCAATTTCATTTCTATTAGCAAACATTATTTAGCTTGCTAAATTGTTTATAATTAGTGTAATGTTTCTTTAGTTACTTGTGCAATGTTTGTTGTTGAATAGTGAGTGCAATCACCATGTTCACTTTTAGTGACCCATTGTATTTCTCCTTTTTTGAAATCATACTTTTTTTTATAGTAATGGTGGCTAGCAGTGGAATCTAGGATGCGCATTTCGTCTTATTTGGGACTCGTCAGCTGGATGTACCTACCTCTCAGTGAGTGATGTTTTTCCCACCGGGATTCGGAGTCGAGAGCTGTCGCTCCGAACGCGAGAGCGTTATCCACTACACCACCGAGCCACGATAGCCACTTCTTGTGCGATGGGTATAGTTTTGGTGTTATTGCTTGTATTATACCGTCGTTGATTGGACTGAATTGATCAGTCTGTGTTGGCATGCGGACTCCTATGCGAATGCCTCGATATTGCCTGTGTTTACAAGCAATAACACATACTTTTCTTTGCTGAAACACCTCAGTCTTGTTTGTGGGGAGTACTAGGCCACAGATATATCGGCCAAACAAGCGATTCATCATTCAAGTCTAAGATATTTTATTAAGATCTAAAATTTTGGTAGTAGATTTTCTATAGGCTACGTTATCTTTAATGATGGGAAAAATTAAGGCCAGTAGAAATATGTGAAATATGAGATATCTGAACAATGCCCGAATGTGAGTGTTATTTTAACAGATACATAGCATACCAAGAAACGATAATAAAGCAGATTAAATTTCACTTTTGATAAAGTGCATGAGAACATTGTTCCTTATCCTTCTCTATCATTAATGATTAATAATGTTATGTTGTTTCATGTGACACATTCCTTGCCTGTGGTTCACCAAATTTGTGATAAAATGAATGTTGTGTTTAGCTAATGAGTTATTTTGTAACTGATTGTAACTAGTTTTTCAAACAAAACATAAAAATCTAATGACTCGTTCTAGTTTACTATCGAATACTCCACAGCAATAATTGACGATCGTCTTTCAAAACACTTAACGTGGTGGTGCGTAATTTTACAATCACTGCTCCGTAAAGTCAATTAACTATCTCTATGTAACGTTAAATTCCTATTAAGTGGGTGTGTGTGTGAAGGGGGGGGGGGGTCAGACAACTACTTCACCTGCAAATGAGTTCCTGATGTCCACAACCTACAAATTAGTAGTTATCCAATGATGCTATCACGCAAAACCAAAAGAAAATGAGTCATCAGTTGTTTTGATTATCGTAGTTGGTGGTTTCGATAGTTCATTTATTTATATTATTATTTGTCCCTTGGGTTCCTAATGGAACATAGGGCTTCAGTAGCACGTCTCCAGTACACTCTGTTCTCTGAAATCTTTTGAACCTGGCTCCACGACAGCTCACAAGCTCTCATTTCCTCGCACGATCTCCTCCATGTCACCATAGCCTTGGATGCCCAACTCGTCGCTTCCTATAGGGGTTCCACTCGAGTGCCTGACGCATGATGTCCCCACTCGGCTTTCTCAGTGTGTGTCCAATCCATCTCCACTTCCTTCCAGTGCATATTTGTTGTGTGATAGGTTCTTGGTTGGTTCGTTTCCAGAGTTCCTTATTGCTTATTCTTTCTGGCAATCCATCTGATCTTCAGTAACGAGCCAGCGTAGACAATTGTTGATGAATATCTGTAGTTTATTGGAAATCCCTTTCGTAGCGCGCTAAGTCTCTGAACCATACAGGAGCACTGACTTGACATTGGTGTTGAAAATCCGGATCTTGTTCCAGATGCTGAATGCAGAAGATCTCCACACTGGTTTCAGGCTAATGAACGCCTGTCTTGCTCTTCCGATTCTGACTTTGACATCCTCATCTGTGCCGCCTGTAATTGAGACAGCGCTGCCTAGATAGGTGAAAAAGGCTACTTCCTTTAAGTGGTATTTATTCGTGTAGTAAATTATCTTGAAATTATTATAGTACTCATTGTGGAGATAAATTGCAGTTCGATTGACTTTTTTAAGCTCTTGATCTTGCGCATCAACTTTCTTAAGATCAGTAGGGATTTGAGTGTAACGTTTTGACAACAATCATGGGAATAACAGAAGTTTAAGCATCTGGAGAAATGCATGCACAAATTTACAATTTCTTCTTTATCCGCATCAAATTTTTTTTGACACACTGCGACCACTGTAGTCGGTACGTGTTTACAACCTCAGCCGCTGACTTACATGTCTTACTAACAACTCTATGCATGGCTTCACGTGAGCAATTCTATAAAAGAGCCTATGATCGCAAGCATTAAACTTTTTAACATCTCGGGTCTGTAGAGTAAGACAAGACAGTCACATTTCTACACAGTGTGTACAACCATCTGATATTTCGAATATATCTTGACTGCCATGAATTGTACACGTTGGTGATTATCATTAAAAAAACTTCTGTTCATATAGAGTTTTCGTCAGCAACCATCTCATCAGGGTTGATATGAATTTAATAATAAGTAAAGTTGTTAGCTCACTGAACTACTTTACTCCTTATCTTTAATCCAGATGTCGGTGCAGATCAGCTCTAGCACATCTGACATTTCGTTGGTTCCAAATATATATTAAATATCCTGACTTTCACAGGAGGTATTGAGTCAGAAAGTACACTTCCTATCGTAGGAATCTATACTACCCTTACACCTTTGAGCTGATGAGAACTAATTCTCGAGTACACTTCCACCCACCAGCTTTATCGTTTACACTTATCATAACAGTTAAGGAAATCCAAGTGATTAAACACGTTTCAGTTTTATATGCTTTTCTCAGAAACAAAACATATATCTATGACCTAGGGTTCTTGATTTTTAGCTCAATGTAAAATTTGTTTATCATTTTTATTATTTGTCCCTTGGGTTCCTGGTGGAACGTAGGGCTTCAGTAGCACCTCGCCATTTCACTCTCTTCTCTCCACTCTTTTCAACCTGAATCCACCACACCCCACAAGCTTTCATTTATTTCTCACACTATCTCCTCCATGTCACCCTCGCCTCGGACGCTCAACTCATCGTTTCCCATTCCGGTTCCACTCGAGTGCTTGACGCGTGATGTCCCCAGACAGTCTTCTCAGTGTATGCCAATGTAAAATAGAGTTTGCATATTGAAAGCTATAAAGTCCAGTTAGTTGCATGGTTTTATAATACAAACAATAGCATATCTTTGATTTTATCCACTTACAGTGGTCGTCGAGCAGTAATTTGATGAGATTGTTAGTCATTGTATTTTCAACTGAACAAGGCAATGCTTGGAAACGGTTGGGTATAAATTGGTGAGGATTGTGTATTATTGGGAAAGTAGCGGTAGGTAATATTCCTTAACTATCCAAACTGTAAAGACCAGTATTAAATTGAACTAGCGAGAGAGAAAAAGTGTTATGGAGAAACTGAACCTAGGGGAATAATCTTCCAACAGGTATTATGCACTCTTTTCAGGGATATATTCGTATTTAAAGAATTTTGTTTTTTTCTTAAGTAACTAGAGTAAATAAGTGATGAACATAGAGAAAGACAAAGTGCATAGCTACTATACCCAAGAATTTCTAATCTTGATCATATCAAATAAACTAAATGGCTTTACTTAGATCTAAAATATATTTAACTATTCTTTTGGTTGGTTGATGCAGGTGGAAAAATGTACCGAATTTCACTACTGTTTTATTTTTTCATATTCTTTTCAGGACTTTCTGCTACTTTCAACTACTGTTTTCCTTATTTCTCTGTCTTCAATCTTGGTGCCCACTACTTTAATGTGCTGATATGAGATGTGGCATCTTGAACTGTTGCGCAGCAATGCCAACTTCCACAGTGATGCTAAGTGAAAGTAGAGCTGATTCATTGGTTTAGTGAGTTGACTGTCAACCAGTTGGCCACGGGTTGGAGCCTTGCTTCACCTATCAAGGTTTGGGCAGCCAAGTAGCATCATTAAGCCTCACACAACGGATGTGGTTTATTTCCTACTGCACAAACGTATACAAAGTTGCCGATTGCATTCCGACGCGATATTGACTGAAAGTGTATGAACAGTTATATGATGTGAAATTACTGGTGGAGTTTACTTCAAATTAGGTCTAGCAATTTCTAGATGGTCATGATTGAATGGTTCATTACATCTTAGTAATTAACTAATGTGCATATATAACAAGTTTGCTTCCTGCTATTGGATATGGAAGACTCTAATTTGAGTAGTTCTTTTGTGAAATGATAATCTTATCCTCGCCTACTATGGGCAATCTTATTCTAATGATATACCACAAATTTCATATTTATTTCACAGTTTTTCTGACACTTTGAGTTAACCTGTTCCCCAATTAATTGTAATACTATTTTAAAGTCTTAGAATTCATTCTTTCTGTACTGATTATATGTTATAGCCACTATTTTCACAAACTCTGTATTGATCCTTGGCTTCTGGAGCAACGTAGTTGTCCGATGTGTAAACTGGATATTTTGCAAGCGTACGGTTTCCGTGCAGAGTTATTTTGCAGCTATGCCAACTTGGACAATTTGACTAGTCGAGCAATTTCAGTATCAGGCCCAATATCAGCTGTTTCTTCAGTTTCTACAACTTCACCTGGTCTAGTAACAGGCAGTTTATCAAATTCAGGGCTGGATGATGATGTTTCCATGATGGAGAGTGTATCTTTAGTAACTAGTCAACCACAGGCTATAAGTGATCTTTTAACAGTTACATGTGGACCTCCGTTAACTTATGTTGTACTCACTGGTACAAATGGGGCTGCTAATGCTGCCGATTCAATAATAATTCATGCCCAGTCATGCTCTAAAACCAATGAACAGTCGAATGTCACGAATTCAATTTCATCACATTTTGTTCAAAATAGTAATATGACTTTACCCACTCACAGTGTGACAAATAGTATCACCATTCCATTATTATCAAATTTATCATTTTCTCCCAACCAGTTGGCTGGTTCATCTATGTGGAGCACAAATCTTTTACCAGTATGTGTAGTTACGTCTGTTAATTCATCTGAGTCATATCAAGCAAGAGCAATTATGGTTTGTGAATCATTTCTTGGAAATCTTCTTAGTCAAACATGTTCTGTTGTGACTGCAGCGGTTAGTTCACCGACTGTTCATTCCATTGAACATTCAGTTGCAATGTCTATGAATACTAAAGAGGCCGGAACTTCGACTACCCAATCTCTCATGGGTCCACTATGCTCAACTGCACTTGATTCAGAGGTGAGATTTTAATATTTTATACTGACTGAATTTCACTTTAATAGTTTATTTATACTTAAGAGATAAAAGCATTAGGTCTTTATGGAAGATACGAATATTTTTCTGGTTTTACGCGTAGTGTGACATTGTGATAAATCTATGTGTACACTGCCGTTAATTGGATATTGATGCAGGATTTCGTTCAACAGACTCTAATTTTATTTGTTTTTTTATCGGAAAAATAAAATGGCCATTGTGCCTCTAGTATACGGATTATTACATTAGCAGCACAAATATCCACCATATGAACTCATAACTTGACAGATAAAGCACATAACTATGATTATGAATGATATGATTTACCTGTGTATTCAGCATAGTACAATTGTTCATTGATATAAGTTATAATATTTAGCACAATAAAAACTGCAAAGCTAAATGAATCTCAGAAAAGATTTAGCAAGTGGGATAGCTTTAGATACCAGCGTATGCAGCTCTCATTTCTTGCTTCAATTTATGCTGATTACCAATATCTTTATAGGTTATTGTCAAAATGTATCCTGAACTCACTGTTTTTTTAACTAAGGGCAACAAGTTGTCATTGGCAATAAGATGTTTTTGTCATTTATCGATAATTTTTGGTGTAGTCGTACTATGCACCGTTTTTACAAAATATTTGGTATGAAATCTTAACAATATTTTCAAGGTAATCATATCCATGAGAAATTTGTGCATTGCGCGGAGAATCTATTTATTATCAATATATTTCTAATGGATGTTTACACACAATAATCTTATTTAATTTTGGTAATATTTTGAGCAAAATTATTTCCCGTGATCGCACCAATTGTTGGAATTATTCGTTCCAACAACTTTCTAAAGTAGATTTCATCATTGGTTCATGTAAGTTAAAGAACCATGGAAATTCTGTGAGCACTGAACGAGTATTTTATTTTGGTTTGGCAATCTTTAGCAGTGCACACTCTCCGTTCCTCAATGGGGGGTTGGCTACGGGATTATGAGGTCTGGTGGCAAGTTTGTCATCATTCAACCACTGGGTTAGATTTAGAAAGCCTATGTTTTCCTAGTCGTGTCAATTTGCGGCTTAGTACAACTATCATTCAGCGTTATCGGGAAGCATTTGTCATCACATCCAATTTAGTCAGTTCTACAGATAAATTTTCTGAAGTTCCAGTGAGAATAACGATAGATAGATAAAGTCAACGTTGAATCCTGTACATAAGTGCGTTGGTTCAAGTTTCCACACTTCACGGTAGTATATGAAAAACAGGTGAGAAGAAAAAGTATGATATGAAAGTAGATAAAATTGTATGAGATAGTAAACAATCTAAAGATAACAGTTAGTACGAATATTCAAGCTTTATAAGATGTCAAGGAGTGAATATAGGGAGACCATTGTGACCGATTTTCAGTCATGTCATCAAGAGTTCTCAACCGTTGATTGTTTTCGTCTTGGGGACCCCAGCTAGATAGTGTATACCTTTCATTACGTCTCACATCAATAGTCAGGGATTTCCTGGGTTGGTGCCACTTCTTAGACCGACCACTCTGAATCCTCCTCCAACCAAATCCAGCTTCCCGTAACATGGCATATGGAGGTAGGCGATGGCTGGCATGCTCAGTGCATGTTCAAGCCGTCTCAGCCGATGAAGATTACAAGGAGAAACTATGACCTTGTATGTCGTTTCTGACTGACACTTCATTTTAAGTTATTCAAATCTACCAGTATTCAAAATATATGTTTGAGTTTAAAAGTACATTGTTTTGAATAGTTAATCGAGACCTTTTTATAAGGTAGTCCAAACCATAGTTTAAGTAGCTCAGTTACATGCTAGATGCTGGTAGTCATTTTCTGTTTCGTGCAAAGTTTGAAATACTTTTTAATGAAATTAAAACTGTTTAGTTCTCGTCTAATTTCTTTTTGCTAGATGACTCAGAAAGTAGTTATCAGTATGGTGCATGAATATATGTATTACCTTATGTACTCAATGATGTATATTCATATTGTGTGCAGATTAATTGCATTGTTCAGCTCACCAATTGTGTCACCCTGTTTTGTGGTCAATCAGATTTCACAGCATGAGTTTGCATTAAAAAATGGCAGTTTGGAACGCACTTTATTGTTACTGTCACTCACCTCGATATAATAAATAGAGTTGTGTTACTAATAATCAGCAGGTTATAGAATTAACTGTATAGACTCCACTCACTTTTCGTTTTTATCATTAAACATCATTTCATTCTTTTGTGTCGTATCCGCCTCTATCTCATTGTATTTTTCTGTTTTCTGTTGATACTCTGTTAGGATGTTTACCAATTTGATTCGATGAACTGTTGTTAACGACTTCTTTCAAGCCAAGTTACACCACTAGGTGTTAGGTGCAGTTTTTGATATTGGTATTTCCTTATATTGTTCCACACCTGTGTGAGCAATGTTGAAATCAGGTGAAGGGTACTAGGCAAGAAACGCAAGTCGATTGATGAGGCTTAAACTTCATCGACTGAGATGGCTTGGACATGAATTACTCGTGTCAGACCAATGCCTACACATTGATGTGCTATGCTAGGGGAAGCCAATCAAGTCACTAGGAAGCCATCGTCGTATACACTTATGACTGGTCAAAAACTATATTTTTATCGTATTCAGTGCGTAACTCGTGTGATTATCTTAGTGTTGGTGTTTGGTCGTAATAAAATCTCGGATAATAAACTGAACGTGTAAGATGGTTCACATTTGATGCTTGTACGAAAATCTGGTTGTGGCCTAAAAGTAGGTTTCGTTATGCACAAAGCGTCAGAATTATGGTTCCCATTGTTCAAATGATGGTCCTTTGGACGGTTGTTCTCTGTTTTTTTCCGCATCATGACATGATTTTTGAAGAAGGCTACTGAGTTGTTGATAGGATAAGTCACTTACTGCACCCAAACTGCAATTCATGAGAGCAGAGACGATGGAGAAATTCTGCTGTTAGGTACCACTTATATTAAGTGGTGCTTCTAGTGTAACGATGTACAAGTAACCGGTGATAGGAACCTAACTAAGTAAGCAATGTAATGTCGACCCCTGCATTTGGTACTATATTGACACTACACCATCCTGAAACAAGCATGAAACGCTTATGAAATTTACTGATAGATTTATTTACTTCCATGTTTTCTGGTAGCGAGCAACCTAAATGGTTCATATTCCATTTATTATTTTAGACACATCAGCACAGGTGCACCTGTTGGTGCTAAATTAATATTTTTAAAAACTTTCGGGCATAGGATCTGTTTTATGAGAACCTTGTTTCAATACCTAACACCTATTTCAACTCCACGCATCATAGTGAAACTCTATTATTCAAGGGTTTCCAATAAAACTTTCTTACATGTGTTGTATGCTGTGTTAGACCGGGACGGAATATTTAAAATAGGGTGGACCTATACTTTTTTTGACCATATCACATTGTTTCGGTCTAGGGTAAGTCTTAAAACGTAGGAGTTTAACTACTTAGACACTCAATTAGTATTTGAGATCAGTTGTAGAACATGATATTAGATATATTGTCACATTATTCACTTCTTCCTATACACTTATTCTGATCAGTTATCAGAATAAATCCATTCGATCATAGGAAAAAGAAAATTGCAGTTGCAGTGAAGAAAAGAAAAGTTTTTTCCACAGACTCTCGTAGCTATATACTCATGAGCATATAGTAGAGAGGGTAGGATATTTCAGAATAATTTCCTGTCATAGGTCAGGAATACATTACACCAAAAAAAAGAAAAGCCTTATATACACATCATAAGGAAATTGTTTGCAGTGATCAGTTCTTTATGATGAGCATGACGAAAAAAGAGGTTATATTTAATTCTGCACGTACAATGATGGTTTGAACTTTTGAGTTAATGATGTTTTAGCTATATCCAGACATACTATTTTTACTCCTTTCGGGTGGCTTGTTTATACGTTATACAAAATTTTGAAAGGTTTATTCATAGGATCCAAGAATCCTGAGCTGAATATACGTTTTTTTGCTAGATCAAGAAAGTAATTGGGAATGGCAGACAGACAAACATAAAACCAGCGTAGAACCTTGTACATAAGTGCGTTGGTTCAAGTTTCCACACTTCACGGTAGTATATGAAAAACAGGTGAGAAGAAAAAGTATGATATGAAAGTAGATAAAATTGTATGAGATAGTAAACAATCTAAAGATAACAGTTAGTACGAATATTCAAGCTTTATAAGATGTCAAGGAGTGAATATAGGGAGACCATTGTGACCGATTTTCAGTCATGTCATCAAGAGTTCTCAACCGTTGATTGTTTTCGTCTTGGGGACCCCAGCTAGATAGTGTATACCTTTCATTACGTCTCATATCAATAGTCAGGGACTTCGTGGACCGGTGCTTCTTGAATTGGAAGTGAATTTTATGATTGTTTTGAAGATAACTGGACCGTAATCGTTTCAAATTGTGTAGGGTGATTATGAATCACAATTCCATTTTCATATCTAGATATTATTATTATAAATTATAACTTGTTCCAGTAATTAATACTATCTCACTGTATGATCTTTCTAATAAAAGAACTACAATGGAATTACGCTCTACACCACTGTTCAAGTTTTACGCTTATACTATTAAATAAAAGTGGGCTACATTCTTTTATTGACACTATTTATTCATTCTTGACATACTTATTTACTACAATTGAAACGCTCACCTTGAAGTATCTATTCCATTTATACGTCTTGTGTACTCTCTCATAGTTCTTTGTATATAGTTCCAATCACTAGCATACTTTCAATGATACTTAGACCTCCCCTCTGTGATTAACTGAAAACCATGGAACACAAGTATCAAATCTATTTACTATCATAACAGAGATCTACTTAAACCTGGAAAGTATCTAGGTTTGAAGACAAATAATAATCTTCACATTGTGTAGTTTTACATTGTGTATACACTCACCTATCTATTGATAAATTTTATCGACTCTACTACCAGTTACCACATGTAAACTGGATTGACCTCTATCTTTGGTGGTGAGTATATAATTGTTTGGCTGTTATGGATTTTGTTTTTGAGCTTGTTTTAGAACGTCAGGTTTTTGTTTTATGAGCCATTTTCTGGTCAAGTATTTTACTTTATTGCAGTTTCATATTAACCATACTGTCTTCTCACTATTTCGGACTATATCCACATAACTTTCTACAGTAGTCCCTGCGAAATTTGTTCAACCTACAAATAAAACACAAAGGACTTCAGCGAATAAATTTGTTTCCGGTGATATCTTTCTCAGAAGCTATACAATGGCATTTAAATGTAATTACTGAGTGTACACGCCACATACCAAGTGATTCAAAATGGAAAGCTCAGTGACGCCTTTGAAGTTTGGACAGGAGTAAGACAAGGTTGCCACCTACTATCACCGATGACCTTCCTGATTGTGGTCGACTGAATCATGCAGGAAACCGTGAGCAGCGAGAAGATGGACATACGCTGTTTGACCGATGAAAAGAGCCTAGACGATTTTGATTTCGCCGCTGATGATGACTCATGTCCAATGTGTTGTCGCACAAACTCGAAGATCTACAGACAAAAACCAAGAAGTTGACAGAAGAGGTAGAGCAGCGAAAACATGACTTCAAGAGAACGTGGAGAAGACGGGGTTGGTGAGGATATCCAATGGACAACATCAACAACAAGCACCAATCACCATTAACAGGAGAAGGCTGACTGAAGTAGTCTGTTTCACCTACCTGCCCAGGCAGCATGGTTTCAACCTCGGGCTGTGGCGCCGGGAAGGATGAGGATGTGAAAGCCAGTATCGGAAGGACAGCAAGACAGGCCTTCCTGCAATGATCTGAAATGGGTGTGGAGGTGGACTGCACTCCACTCAGCATAAAGCGTGAACAAGATCCGGACTTTCAACACTAATGCTTCTATGTGATGGTTGAGAGAGATTTGGTGGGGCGTTACGAAAATCATTTCCAACAAACTACGGATATTCATCAAGAGCTGTCTACTCTCACTGGATACTGAAGATAAGATAGGTGGTCAGAATAATAAGAATAAGCAACAAGGAGGTCTGGCTGGCTGGCAACGAACCAAGGAAGCAAGAAGCCATCGCTCAACAAATGTGTAGAAGAAAGTGGAGATGGATTGGATTGAACATACAGTGAGAAGACTGTTTGGGGACATGACGCGTCAGGCCGGGCCATGCGATTGAGTGGAATCCAAATGGTGAACGACGAGTTGGGTGTGTGAGGTGAGGGTGACATGGAGGAGATAGTGTGAGAAATAAATGAAAGCTTGTGGGGTGTGGTGGAGTCAGGTTGAAAAGAGTGGAGAGAAGAGAGTGAAATGGCGACGTGACGTGCTACTGAAGCCCTATGTTCCACTAGGAACCCAATGGACAAATAATAACAATAGTGTGTGTACATTTACACGTGTCAATATTTGCTAATGAATAATTCTTCGTAGGTTGTGGTCAAGAAAACTAATGTAGGAATGGAGGTTACGTAAGTGTAGGTCGAAGTCAAGAGATTTTGAAGAATTCGTAACAAAGTGAGTAATCAGATGTCGTTGGAAAGGAAATTTGTGTTACATTCTTCTTTCTTCATTATCTTTTCTAACGGCATATACTATCTATTTTGAAATGGACCTACGTATCACTTTTTCTTACGAAACGAAATTGTCATTTAGCCTCCTCTTCTAAAATTGTCGAACTTCTCACATGTTAACTGAAAACCTTCAAAGTGTTTTGATTGAAAAAAATTTTTATCCAACTTCTTTTTACATTGAGCCGAGAGTTAGTTATCAATTATTGTAACAGAAACCCAGCAATTTTTTCAGCTAAATAAATAATAATAATTTCGCTTGTTCCGTTTGTAGATTTCATCCATTCATCCAATGAATATCATGTGCACTAATTGTCCTGATCAGTTTATGACTTCGCAGATTAACAATATATCTGTAGAAAACTCAAGAACAGCTTGTCCAACCAGTTATTCAAACAGTTTCAATTCATCCCAATACTCTGTCAATCCGCATAATTGGCAGATAATAAACCTACGCAAAATAATACATCCTAATAAATCTCTTAGTAATAATGTCCCTTCTAGAAGTGATCACTCGTCAATCACTTTATTTCGCAATTGGCTGTCTAGTCATTGGCGTAATACATTTTCTCGTCCTCGATCTAACAGGAAACGATGTAACCGTCTTTCATATCATACTCCTTCTTATTATACCGTTACGTCTACATCATCAGCAAGTCACGTTGTGAATACAGATGAGCTTGATCAGAGTAAATCTAATCTAATTACAGCTAAACGACAATCTACAAGCGCAGTTACTACAAAGGAATGCTATGTAACTGCTGTTGTCGAAGATGTACCTTCAGAAACAGGCAATAGTTCTACATTATCCGAATCTGTAAATATACCAACTTCCGACTATCCTATCATAACACAGTCGGTCAACACTGTTTCTGTTAACACTGGTTCTCATACAACAGCTGACATAGTGTTTCCTCAGTAGCATTCATTCCAATATGTTTTTTTTATTCGTAATTCTCTATTTGAAATATTTGTTGCTTGTATTTTCGCGTAATTTAACTTACACTATATTTCCCATAAGTCAGTCGAACTAATGTGTACATTATAAATGGTAAATACAGTTAGAACGCTCATATTTTATCTATTTCTTCTAATTTCTTCATTTTAATATACTGAAAACACGACTACCGATAATATTGGAAATACTACTTATTGCATTTTGTTCCAGTATATGTATAGATATGTATGTATGGGTGTTTTGCAATGTAATCTCTAATTTATCGCTGTTGAGTGATAAGCTGACATTCACTACTCATGCTTTATTGGTTGACTGACAAACATGCTTATTTTTATGATATGCATTTTCTCTTTAATCTTATGTTGTTTTTTCCTGTGAAATGTGCTTATTCATTTTACTACTTATTTTTGAGTAGTTAATTATGTCTACTTTTCTTCAAAAAAGTGTTGAATTTAATTTCACATAAATCATATTTGTATGTAATATCTTTTTTTTAAATAATGTATTATTTGAGTTTGTTGCTGGCGCGAAGTTTATGTGGGCTTATCCGATCTTATCCTTACTCACATAAGATATACTTACGTGCAGTTGATGAGGACTTATTTTCCTACCCTTAGACTTCATTTTCTCCATATTTGCTTTTCTGGTATAAAATAAGTAAATAAATATCGATAACCCGAGGACTAATTTAGTTCATTTGTACCCTATTCCATTTGACTGAGTACTATCTGCATATCTTTCAAATGTTGGTTATTTTCTCTTTCGTAGTTTTCTGTTTGTTTTTATCTTCAAACGGGAAAATTATTCTTCTTTTCAAGAAATATACATTTGCATGTGTACAGCTTAGATGAATATTCTCTCTTTCATTACTTTATTGTAATTATTGCTTCAGGAGAAGAAAGAGAGAGCGAGAAAGTTCTTTTTGAAGAATAGTTGTAATTGACTTATGTTCTCACTGTTTTCTTACACTTGTTTTGTCCGTTCGTGCAATTTAATCTCTTCTGTAACAAAATATGTTATTTTAGCATCAATTAACTAGTATAACAGTAGATCTATTGTAAACTGATTTATTGTTAACCATCAATATGTGTATGCGAACTACAAGGACTTATGTTGTCGTGGAAAAGAAGTAACAAGGAAGAAGTGTTGTGAATAGAAATATAAAATATTTGTGTTAACATACGTCTTTATCACTGATATTGTTCGTAATTGAGTTGAAAAACATGTCATTCAAAGAGATCAAATTGTTTACTTAGCTCTTTGGGTTTTCGTGTCGAGAAGAAAATTGATATCGTAAAGCTTATAAACGCTGCATATCCAAGAGAATGACCCCACATCTCTCGAAATTCGAACCTCCGTTGTTCACAGCTGTGGACATTATGCCAGTGGCAGATCATATGGATGTATATTAGAATGCACCATCCTTGAAAGTGTAGGTGCTATTTCATATCAATTTGTCAGAGTTTAGTTATCAGTAGTGGAAAGTAGTATGCAGTTTAGCCTAATTATATAGTCACTACTCGCCTCATTCTTTGTGAGCACAAATAACAATCATTTAACATCGGAGTATCACCCTGATGCTAATAACCCATAAATGTATCACGCCAACGACTTAATTTTTTTTGACATATTTGCAATGGCATATTCGAGCCTCACAAAAAAGTACATCAACTTTAATCCCTACATCTCACAGCTGCACAGAGATGAAGAATCAACAGAATTGCTGAGATACTAAGACGACCAAAAAGTCTATGAGAAGAGGAAGCTTAAAGAAATGAATATATTTATTGCAGTGAGGTCAATTTTAAGCTATCTTCGACGACTACCAGGGATTGATGTATAAACTCTTAAAGACATATGTTAACCTAATAAACTCTGAATAACTGTGCCTTCATTAAAACTGATATCGTGATTTAGTCTGAAAATCAATAACTTTTCTCCAACTTAATTCTACTGCAATCATTTCAGTTATCTTTGAATAGTTTCAATATTTCCTCAAAAAAGGATTCTGATACTTTCAAGCCTAAAAATAACTCATGATTTAGATTATTTCGAAAATTAAATAAACATATTGAGATGTGTATCTATTCCATTTTGTTGTTCATTTTATCTTTGACTAGAAAGTTTTTGTTTCATTCTGAAAGATAAATACCATCTCTTTAAACCTGTGATATTTTGAAAAAAATTAGGGATTTAATAAGGCGTAGGCAAAATCTTAGTTGGAAAAATGTAGACTGTGTTGTGAACAACAATGTCACAAAATATCTATAGAACGTTTTTCGGCTGATTGAAATAAACAATTATGGTAAAATCAATGCAATGAGATTGCGTGGTTCTGTTTTCTGATGGATTATCTTGTATATTTACGTTATGATTATTAGATTTTCTCCAAAATCTAGCCTTTGGTCGTGAATGTTTGTCACTTGAATTACTGATGTTTCACTGCATTCATATGTACTCAGTTCTTCTAAAGTCAAGATTATGTTTAGTCTAACTCATTTATTGGTTATACTTTCGACAATTAAATCTTTTTTTAACATTGAAAAACTTTGTGAAGAGATTCGTTTTACATATTCTCTCACTCTGACTTGCCTCCTCATTTCACAGCATGAAACAGTAACATTCCATTAAAGGTTATCGTGATTTATTGTATTGTCACAATATGCTATAAATTTGATTGTAATTATCCCTGTTCTACATATCCTGATATCATTGCATCTAAGAAGAGTAGTTTTTCGGCATCAAACGTAATCTTTTGAAAAACATTATGGTTTTGTTTAAGAAAATTGTTATTTGAAATATTTTGACGTTGTGAAAGGTCAAATATAAAGACGGTAAGGTATCAACCTTTCATTACTTAGTTGCATGGTATCATTTTAGGGACCTGATTGACAGTTGCAGTTTGTATAGAAGAAAACGTGTTTTCAAACTTGTAACGTCCGGGTTTTATTCATAAGAATAACTTTTCATAGTAAGAAGAAGAATTTTGCAACTTGTATCGAGCAGCAGACTGTAGTCGGCTTTTAGCTTGAAGTGTAATAAGGAACTGATAATTTCACATCAAAATATTTAAGTTTGAAATGTAGATGATTCGTATTTTGGATATGTGCCAAAACAGTAAATCTCACTCTAGTTTTATCCTACCATACGGTTAGCATATATGATGACTTAGTCTTTTGTATCACTCATACTATTAAGTTGATGTTTGTGCATTTGGAAGCAAAACATAGTTTGCGTTTTGGACTCAAAATTCTTGTGATCACTTATCATTCTCATAAACTAACCTACTGATTAGCAAATAAATTGGAACCGATTCTGAAAGAATTGACATATTTATTTCTTAGTAGTACTTTCAAGTTTATAGTAAAGGTGAAACAACTAGACCATCTCCCATAATTGTCTTCTGTTTCCTACTACAAGCATTTCTTTGGAAAAAGCAATCACTATTAGTCAATATTAAGCACTCATTTGGATGATTAAAACAGTTGTTAATATTATGTATCAGAAATATTCATTTTCACTGAGAGGATGTGCACCGTGTTAATAGTCTAACTGGGTTATTAAAAATAGTTTATCTTAATGATACAACTTATCAAACATTTATGAGTCGGAAAGAAAATTTCAATATGCAAAAGTTCTGCCTTATCAATTACCTATAAATTATGTATAATGAAATCACCACGACAACTAGAAAATACTCCTCAGTAGGTACAGTATCACAATAGTATTGTGAAAAAATGATTATCCTCAAAAGTTCATACGAAACTATAGAAGTGAATTCTGTCCAAAGTACTAAGTGAATAGACATGAGAGATTATTTTTATGCTACTGGCTCTACAGGATAATCAGTATGTAAGCAGGGTTACACAAAGGTCTAATGTAGCACTCAAAAGCAAACAACAAAGAAAATCCCAGTCATATATCACCAACCAATACCGTAATGCTTATTCCTAAATGTTGTTCGAACTCTATCCAGAAAGTTTGCATTGTGGCCACCAAGACTTGCTATCGTAACTCACTTTGATTAAAGTTAGTTGGTTAGAGGTGATCTTCAGGAGACTTTTGTCTTGTATTTGCTGAAATTCGTTAGCACAGATGCTTTACTGACAATTTTCAACAAATGTAAAACCCTGGTTTAAGAGCATCTTACCAACTGCTTCCAAATAAGCAGCAATAGCTGTTCTCTGTATGATACTTCATGAACTACAACCATAAATGAAGTAAAAATAAAAATGATAGCAAACTTGAATTGTTATTTAACCTAGTAAATATTGTTTATTTATCTTTAGGGTTATAACTAAGAAAAAATGTAAACACCCTTAATGTAGGTGCAAAACTTGGGCACTGTGGTAGTATTTAATTCCATATTAGATTTGTTTATTTGATGTATCATACTTAGTGATACAGCATTATTTACGTGATGACGTTTCAAGCATAAACTAATGCTCATAATCATATCAACGTAATCACACTACTTCCGATATCTGATTATTATAGTTCTGCCACCCCACATGATTTATTTTTATTGGTAGTAAAATTTTCCATATCTCTGACATATATATTGTGTCGTTTTTATCACACTTGTTGCGTGTTGATTCGATGAACAAAGATTCAGTAACCAATCTCTCTCTCCACCTAATTATATTGGACTTAAGCACAGTGGTTTTATCCCACACAGTCTGTTGCGTGGTTATGTGTTAATGCATGCATTGCAATAACCGAGTTTTTTTCTAGATCATTGATCTTATTCCTTTCTACTTGTGTTGTCGTTATTATTTGTACTCTCATTACTGTTATTATTTCGTTTCTTATGTGTTTGTACGAATTTCTCAATAAACTGTAGAGGATAATTATCAACTATTAGTGCTTTTTTTTATGTGCTTCAGTTCCTTGTTTAGGTCCTTGCATTGACTAGTGAGTTTTCTAGCTCGATCATTTAGACGTGTGACTAAACGTGCCTTAACTGACATTAGGTGAGATGACTTGAAATCTGGTTGCCTGTTTTCTGTAGACAGTAGTATCCAAACCATCTTCTGCCCTTCTTTTTATCATGCAATCCAATTCACTTATGAGGTAGAAAATGAACAAGGAGAATTGCCTATGTTGGCACACACAACCACGCAATAGACTGTGTGGGATAAAACCACTGTGCTTAAGTCCAATATAATTAGGTGGAGAGAGAGATTGGTTACTGAATCTTTGTTCATCGAATCAACACGCAACACGTGTGATAAAAACGACACAATATGTATGTCAGAGATATGGAAAATTTTACTACCAATAAAAATAAATCATGTGGGGTGGCAGAACTATAATAATCAGATATCGGAAGTAGTGTGATTACGTTGATATGATTATGAGCATTAGTTTATGCTTGAAACGTCATCACGTAAATAATGCTGTATCACTAAGTATGATACATCAAATAAACAAATCTAATATAGAATGTATACACCCTATTTGAAGTAATATTTGAAGTATTTACTGTGAATATTCAGATTGTTTCAAATATTGAGTGTGTAATCATTTCGCACATTTTTGACAGATCAGCAGTAAACAGTTGCTGAATTCTTTGTTTTCTGACTTGAGAAATGATGATAGTGTGATAGGCTCACAATACAAATGTCAAGGAGAATTCATCAAGAGGTTATAAGTGCGTACAAAATAAGAGATTTAGCCACTATTCAGGGCGAATGACATTCGTTACTTGTTTTTCCCTCAGTTGATATATCTTGTGATATTTTGTAATGTAAATTTAGTCTGTGATTACAACTTTGAAAAGAAATTGAATTGTACGACAACTGGTCACATAAGACTAATCAATTCATCAGTGCTCAACACTGTCATTCGTTTTTATAATATGGCTACAGAGGTAACTCTCAGAACGCTGCATTGCACTGTATTTTTGTATTCGATTTTAGTAGTTGATCAAGAAGAAGTCTTGTACTTGCGTTTTGTGTCTGTTGGCACTCATCAACATGACGTACCTGCAAATATGATAAAATGTGTTCCCTTGGTGTTTCAAATCTACTCCATGCGATGCTGAACTCAAAAACTGAGTCACCAAGCTATGCAGATCACGAATGACTTTATATGGGACTGGATTATGTGCACCAACTGATGACCAGTGGATTAAAGATTTAGCTGTCAATTGATTAGTGATCAGTACTATCCTAAGTTTATCGATCATGTGACTCATGTTTGAACACCTCACTCGTGTTTGCACACTTGTTGATGAGTGCCAACACGTAACACACTTTTGTCCAAGGCTTTCTGCCGACCTACTTCAACCTCTAACCCGAAATTTGAACTGTTTCAGAAAAAAAATCCAAGCAATAAAATAGTGTGACGACCAGCTGCTGATAGGTTGTTTTTATAACCTGTGGGTATGTTGTTGCAGCGGGGTGCATAGAGCATGTGGAGTTTAGTGGTGATCACTAGGATCTGGAAGGGAAAAGAGGAAGACAAAAACATGTGCCGACAACTCAGCAAGTATACAGGATGTACTTACATTTAATGACAAAAGATAACTGACAAACTGTAGAGCTTGACAACGAAGAGGTCAAGCAGTCTGAAAATCGAAATTGGAAGGTGAATGAGTAGGTTTTCGAAGGCGTTACAATAATAAGTTGTATTTTAAACATTTTCATTTGAATAATGAACAGATACGTTTAAACCACTGCATTCATTTCAATCGTTTAAAAATGTTTCTGCATGAAAATGTCGTTATGATCAAATGGTTGTGCTCCCATTAAATCATCATAGTATGATGCTACCTAAAATTATAATCTATATAAATTCTGGATGAATCTGGACTGGTACAGAAGCTCATTGCTATCATCGAAGTGATGTAAGTTATATTATAATAGCGGAATTCCACTGCTATACTTGCATGAAAGTATAACATATGATGAAAATAAACATTTTGCAAAATGAAAGAAATTAGTCTGATTAGATTATTGAAGTTATAAAGTGATCATTTTATTTGAACAAATATACACAGCTACGTTTCTCTTCTTCTCTTCAATGAATAACATGTATGGTTGATATTTCCCTACGAGTTTACCATTCAACTTCTGTAATGTTGGACGTCATATTAGTACGATATTTGATGGTGTTCATTCATTGTGCATCAGTCACAATTTCACTGATATCTTCATTGGCATGGTGCAGCCTTGCTTCAGTATGTCCCGGTGTTTGATAGTTGAGAATAAATCTCTTTGTTTATTACCTGTATATACTTATTTAATATCGTTATTTGTTGATACTTGTAATTTCACGTTGTTTTACTGCATCGAGTTGATCGATCTCTGTCGGGATATGGGCTCCTATGCAAACGCCTCGATATCGTTTGAATATTAATTCCTGTCGTGCTTGGTGAATAACATTCTGACTTTTGAAGCCATTGGTATGGACTTCAAGTCTTAATGGTGGACTGCAAAACTCACTGTGGTGCAGGTATATTCAGGTGACTAGCTCCAAATAAGATGAAACGTGCGTCCAGGATTCTACTGCTGGCCACAATGAAGTAAATTATAACTTATTTAATAATTTGCTTTTATGACCCGTTCTGAAACTGAACATTGAACGCATCACTTATCCTCATCACTTATTCAGTAGTCAATTCTTTTTTAAAACAAAGCGTTTCTTTAAGTAATTCAAATTTATATTTGACTCAGTATAAACTGTTCATTGAATACCTGACAGATAATCCATAGCTTATAGTACTTGTTTTGTTCTTCTCTTTATGGTATTGGTGTGCTGGGTCAAACAATTAAAATGACTGAAACGTTTAACATTAAACTAGTTTTCTTTTGCATCACTTAGCATATTTTTATTTCCAA